GTCACTGGATATAACGCCTTTTATCCACTGTGCCTTGTGTCCTTGAGGACAACATGGCACAGTGAATATTACTTACTCTTAACAGGAGATAACTGATAACTGACATCCATTAAACATGGCACGTGGAACTAGAACAGTCTATCCCAGTGAGCGAAATAAAGGGTTCAGTTCGACATTCCAACCACCTGAAGAAGGCCGGAGCGTACAACGGCCGAAACGTTGCAAAGGTGAGGATAATAGTCCGAATAATGTAAATAATGTACATAATACCTCATCTCAGAAATATAGACAGATAAAGACATGTTATTAGCCTATAATTATTTGGATCATCTCTTTCATCCGTTTTCGGTAGGAGATATGTATTACTTTCAGTAACCCATTCTGGAATTTCAAATTAGTACTGATAAAGTTTGTGCAAAAGAATTGATAACAGATGATATAGCCAAACGTTGGGTACCTTGTCATTTTCTGGGGATTTCCATTTTTGGGATTTCGTTAGAGCTCGCCTAACATTATTCTTAGTTAACGAAACTGCTCTCCTTTACCCACCACAGAAAACCCTAACCCTGCCTCCCATCAGAATGGTTCATTCCAAACTCCTCGAGAGCGCCTCGTTACGCCTGATTGGTCTCACACTGTCCACTGACATGAGGGAGAATAAATACATTGAATCAATAGCTTCATCTACTGCAAGGAAAGTTGGTTCTCTGTGCCGTGCCAGAACGTTTTTCCACCCTTCAAATCTATAAATCAACCACCCGTCCTTGCATGAAATATGGTCTGGTGCTCCCTCCCTGAAGTCTCGAGGTCCTCGACAAAATCCAGAGACGAATATTCAAGATGATAGGTCCTGATCTAGCATCTAGTCTACAATCGCTATCCCACAGACGTGCCGTGGCTTCCCTCTGTCTTTTCTACAAGTATTTTCACGGCAACTGACGAGCTACTTTCGCTGGTTCCCAGACGGCATGAACTTAAGCGAGTTACCAGGCTGACATTTCACCCATCCTTTTACTGTCGAAACGGTTAAATGTAACCGTCCCTTTTCTCGCACTTCCCGTCTGTGCAACTCCCTTCCCATTACTTGCTTCCTCGATGACTATAATCTTCAAATACTCAAGTGTAATGTCAATCGACATCTTCTGATACTTTGATTTTGTTTCCCGTCCTGCTCTGTATCCTTTCCTCAAACATGCCTCTTTACTCTTGTTCTCAATCCTCTGTAACCCCTTGCGTGTTAGTGGCACTCCTGCCTTGCTTGGGGTAAATTACCTTAAAAAATATGTCTATATATTTTACATTTTCGAACAGGTTTATCCTTCATTCTTTCTTGTTCTCGTTTGATCCATTCTGCATTGGGGTTACATTCCTTTGGGTTGCTCCAAAAATTCTCCCTACATTTTTGCCCTTTTTCAATACATGGTGGCTTTTTTGACTTCTATAACTTTCAATTTCCCTGTCAAATTTCTTGAGGTTTATTATTATTATTATTATTATTTTTGTAATCTAGGGAAGATTACTGAATAGAATAATCACACGAAGGTTGGTAATGAACGATAATACTTAGGACACGAACAACACATATAAGATTCGCCAGCGGCGCGTAGAAGTAGTCAACTGCTAGAAGTGAGACAAGTGAATTCCACAATAAATCTTCAACTGCAGACCAAGGGAAAATCTATCCACTAATAATCTATCAACGCAATGCTGAGATTTCTACCTCTTTTCCTATCCAGGATCGTTTTATTTATTAGTAGTTGATCATTGCAACCATATGAACCTCTTTGACATGTTCCAGGGGAAAGAATGTTGTAAGTACAGTTCGTCAGGACAGACTTGATCAATTTATATGTGATGGGCAGACATGTTATTGGCCTATAATTTTTCGGAACATCTGTTTCGCTTGTTTTTTTGAGGAGATATGCAATAATTCCAGTGATCCATTTTGGTACTTCATTGGGACTATTCATTAGCATTGAGAAATTTTGTGCAAAAGTTTCATGATATAGATAACAGTTGATAGAGCCAAAAGTTGGGTACCTTGTTATTTCCTGGGGATTTACATTTCTGGGAATTTCGTTAGAGCTTGCCTAACATGATTCTTAGTTATACTTTCCCATTCTTGCTCAGGTTTATCTTTCATTCTTTCTTGTTCTCGTTTGATCCAATCTGCATTGGGGTTACATTCCTTTGGGCTTCTCCAAAAATTCTCCACAAAATTTTCGCACTTTTTTTAATACATGGCGGCTTTTTGATTTCTATAACTACTTTTCCAATTTCCCTGACAAATTTCTTAAGGTCCTTTTGGAATATCATATTTTTGACGATAGAACCGACAACACTTTTCATATCGTCTTGTTCTTGTTCGTTCTTACATTTTTGCTTATTTCATTTACCAGATCTGGCTTGACCAGCTTGTATAGCTTGTCATATCTTTGGTATAATCTGACTGCTATCCTTGTCGTCTTTATCATTGGAATTCCAACAAGCTTCCTTACCGGTGAGTCATTTTTTTTTCAACACTTTCCGAGATCTTGTTATGAACCGGATGTAACAGCAAAATTGTCCAAATCGTTTAACACCATAATTGTCCATCCCCACAAAATGTTTAATATCTAAAATACCAATAAACTAATTGAGTTTCATGTTTTCATATAACACGGTTAGCCATCTAGACAACATTGGTCGTAAGAATCACGGAAAAAAACACTTTGAGTTATTCAGCTAGAAAGAGAACAGATTAAAATCGTTTTGTGTCAGCCCCACTGTCTTTCCATCTGAGCAATGGTGAAAATGAAATCATACGTGAAATGTGTGAGACACTTTGTTACTCCAGGACAGAAAGTTAGAAGGTTAGAGGAGGCGAAGATCATTTTGAATAAGTTGAAAAATGATACTGCAATAATATATATATATATATATATATATATATATATATATATATATATATTTGAACTTTCAATCCTTCATGAGCTTTCGAGCCTTACTTATGATTAATTAATGATGAACGTATCATTTTCGTTTTTGATCGATTTCATCACGATTCTTTTGTTAAGCTTGGAGAGCAATTATACATTCTTATTACTCAAAGTAGAGCCCAATAGTGTTATAAAAACCTCGGAGAATTCCAGTAAGATATCTTTAATCATTTCTAAGAGACAACGGTTCAAGTCTTAAGCTAGCAAAAAGGACAATTTTGCTTTTACACGATTTGGACAATTTTGTTGTTACACCCGGTATATAATAACCTGATTCTGTTAATAACGATTGATATATTTATTCTTGGATGACTGACAATCTATTTCTTCTAAATTTTTAAGGTTCTTTGTATAATATAAATATATTTTCAGTATTTGACAGTAGCAAAATCGTTAGCAATAACATTAGACATATAATAATTCTTTCATGACGGCCATATTACTTATTCTTTTCATAAAAAATGCGTGTTATATTAATGAACTAGTAATATGTAGATACAAATCATTTATTCCAGTGCATGCAAAAAATTCTCAAACCGACCAAAAACCGACTTTCTAAAAACATCTAATATTTTGGAATTTTTTTTCAGTTTTTGGGAAATGACAGACTGTGTGTGTGTATGCGTGTGTGTGTGCGTATATCTGTAAAAAGACAATATAAATAAAGAGAAAAGGAAAACTTTTCTTTACCTATGCGTTTCGTCCTCTGATGGACTTTATCAAGGAAAATGTAAGGATTTTATCTTTGATTTTATTAATGAATGATGAATGGGTGAATTGTCGCCATTTTATATTTTTAATTTCGAGCATGCGCGTTGTTAGTTTTTGATTTTGTCGACTACAAAGTATAGTAGGGTTAGTTGGGAACCGTCTGTGAGAAAAAGAGCATCATATATATATGACACAATCCACTCCACCTGAAATTTGGAAACAGCATGCTGTACTGCTTGTCATTCACGCCGGATGCTCCAATACTAATGCGTGGGTGTCAATATGAGAACAATGGAAAGAGTCAACATCATGGTGGAGGTGGTGGTTGAAGCTAATGGCGATTTTATTGAATAAATTTACTATTTAGTATTTCAAGATATTTTTGTATAATTTTTGGTAAATATATATATGTTAAAATTAGAAGTTAGTGTTATTTTCATTTTTAAAATGTTACGTAATTCAGACGACAATTTATCCATCGCACTATATATATATATATATATATATATATATATATATATATATATATATATATATATACTAACAATATAGTTTCAATATATGTTATATTTATTGGTAAAAGGTCTCAATATCAGAAATACAGTGTATGTAAGTATAGAAGTGGACGTTGAGATCAAGAACTAACCGTCTACAGTTTGTATCATGCTGGTACTCCTTCAAGAATCAAACAGACTGTCACAGCTTGGTGATGATCTCAAAGTCTAATATATATATATATATATATATATATATATATATATATATTATTTATTTAGAAAAATTATAACATAATGATGTAAAACATTCAACATCATCACTTGATAAGACACCGGAGGTGTTGAAACAAAACAACTATTTTTGTAGTGATTTTATAACATATTTATGTTATAATTTTTAAATAAATAATTATATCTGCTCTACTCTGTATTGAGCACTCTTTTAAGAATAGTAATTATTGGTTATTGAAATTCATTCCGTATACACCAATTATATACTTGGGCATATATATATATATATATATATATATATATATATATATATATATATATATATATATATATGAAATGTCAACTACTATTGATCCTATACATATATATCCTATATATATACTGAGATTTCAGCTCCACTAATTTACTACTATGAATTTAATATCATAGTACAAAGAGTTATTATTATTATTGTTGTTTTATTTCCTTTGATTTCTGGTGCATATTCATTTATTTCCGGGTTCCGACCAGAGACCTAAGGTCAGCAATGGTATCATGACATTTTCCATTGAGCAGTTTTACAAAAAAAAAACAACAAAAAACGTTCATATTTTACATAGATAAAGCCTTTCGTAAGGCGTGACTGTACTTGTGAGTACAATGTTTTGCATTTCTTTAAGTCATGGGCTACCAGGGATTCCTTCACTGAGTCTAATGGAATTGTTAATATCCTCATATTATTATTATTATTATTATTATTATTATTATTATTATTATTATTCTACCTACATTTTTTTATTTATTTATCCTCCACAACTGCTTTTTTTGGCTCGGATCGATTGAGTGTTGTTAGCTGAATGATGTCCATCGAAATGAAATAATGTTATAGAATAGAATCCCTCTTCTAAATTGTATCATGTAGCAGCTGGTTAAAGGGCCAGCCTATTTGCAAGATGGATGACACCATCTGCTCTCATACCTTCATTTCTTCAGCTGTCCGCAGTAATTACTTTAGTCATTATTACTCATTTTCAACAGCTGCCATTGCTTTTCAAGATGGCGTCGTTGTAATGAAAGAGAGAAAAGAAAAATGTACAGTGAGGATAAATAACATTTCACTGTAATCCTTTCCCTGGTTGGTTCTCTGTGTGCTTTCAGCAGTGATGAAGGAAACGTCGTGATCCGTCAGGCTTTAACCGTATCGGCCACGAAGTGCGTCGTCGCTCAAAGAAAGTTGAATAGTGCCACCCCCCCCCAAAAAAAAACCGCAAATCTTTCCCAAAGACACAGTAAAAATCAGCTACAGTTGCAGCGAGAACATGACACAAATAAAACCACAACAAACCACAACAAGGAAACAGCGAACAGATCAACAAATCAGACACACGTGTAACTGCAGAGCAAAAAACGAATGCTCCTTATAAGGTAACTGCTTGCAGAACAATCTAATCAAGGCACTATAAAATCAGTAGAAAAAAAGAAAAATACACATAGAAGTAACAGAAGAACCCGGGAAACAAACAAATTACGCACACAGAACATCCTTTAGGCAAACGGCACAGTTCTTTTTAAACCTATTTGGGAAATTAAAACAAAAACCAAATCGCACTAAAAGTATAAGGAAAAATAAGGAAAACGGCACCAGCCTACAACAATAAATCCCCCTCCCCCCACCAAAAAAAATGTAAACTCTGTCTGGAGGAGAAAATATCTATAATTACCTTCCCAGACCAACACAAATCAGAACAAATTTTTACTACGTTACATAAAAATCGAAAACTAAAAACGAACAAAAACAAATCAGTATATAAAAATAAATAAGTAAAATAAATTAATACAAATTGTTAAATAAGTAATTAAAGTAATAAACTGTTATGGTCCGGTTCCTTGTACCACGGTGATAGTCCAAGGTAGAACCAATAAAGAAGAACTCGAACACGGATATAGAATAACACAGATATATTACAAACAGGAATATATACAGAGAAGTAGAAAGTGTTAGTACGAACAATCAGGTTTAGTAGTAATTGTCTGAACGCGACTCTGTTTCGGACTGCCTCTGACTTGACTGACTGACTCGCTCGCTCTGACTGACAGACTACTGACGGACTTCTGACGGACCTCACTCCAGACTTCAGACTGAACGGTATTTAGTCACCTCCCCACAAGGGCATCATGTGGCACAAGGCCGGTTAAACGTGGGATCTTCGAGCCCGTGGGCTCGGCCAAAAATATGCTCTTTGAACCCATATAAACGGGTTTAGTGTCGGTTTACCTCCCCGAAAGAGACTCCGCCCTTCGGCTTAGTCGTTCGTGTTCCTCCCCGCCCGATCAGAGAGTTCAACCGATCAGCCGGTCGTCCGACTTCAGACTGAACTCTCTGTTTCCTCTTGAGGCGCAGTATTTATTACGTATGGAATAGTCCATTATGTTATTATGGGTAAGGTCCCATAACATAAACAAATTACGAACGCACACATAAAAAAACCATGTAGACGTAATAACAACCAACAACAAACAATAAAATGATCAATAATAAATAATGAGTAAAAAAGATAACAAACTACACTATAAAAAACTGTATTTGGATCCACAAGTATTTGCACTCAATAGCCCCTAGAAGAATTCGAAACATAACCGTTACTACCCACCTAAATAACCGTTAGAATAATACGATAGACCTAACTATAATGCACCACTGATCAGCATATATAAATAGTAGAACCAAAATACAACGCACAAGGCCCGACAATTGCGTTTAATCAACAGGAACAGGACGTCGCCACTAGGTGTTGATCTCATTGTCCACTTTTATAGTTACATACGCTGTATCCCTGATACTGAACACTATAACCCATAAATATAGCATAATAGCTTAAAAATATATTTTATCATATATATGTATATAAACTATATTTTATCATATATATACAGTAGGGGGCCATAATATAAGGAACGAAAACAACAAAGACATAAATATGTGTATTACTTAAAAAGTAATGCATGATTAGCAATGAAATTTTTACCGAATATATATAAGCTACTGGACAAAAGTTAATGAACGATGTTAATAATTTGCATAAACTTTTAATTTACATTGTTAA